TGGGCATTCAAAGCAACAGCGCCACATGCATTCGTCAGCCTGCACGCGACATCCGCGCAACGCATCCCCCATCTTGCCACGGTCGATGCGCCGGGTCTCGGGCCAGAGCGAACCTAGCCACGACGCCCGCAACGCATGCGCCACAGGGAATGATGTTACCGCGGAAGCCTTGGCGCCGCCGCATAACCGAAGACACCGGGCCCAAACGCGAAGACCCGGCTCTGCCGCTGCGCGATGCTCAAGCACGCGTCGCGTTTGCCACCCCTGAGCGGATCGCATGAGCCACGTCGCCAAAAACGCCCAGCGAGGTCTTCAAAGAAGAACTGCCAGCACCTGGATCGTCTTCGACCGCAGTAGATGGCGCCATTTCCCGCCCAGCTCGCAGCACAGATGAGCAAGCTGCGAGCCGACGCCAAGGGGGCTTGTTTCACTTGTATATATATGTATATATAACACGGCTCTGACAATAGTTCTCCGAGACCTCTCGATCTCCCCGGCGCTTTCCTCCTGCGCCCGAAATCGCCACTTGCGGCGACCTTGCAATCTGCAAAATATCACATGTGACATGCCACCCGCCATGGCACCATGCCCGACGGGCGCGGCTATTGCAATGCGGATCAGCCCCGAAACTGAAGTAGCCCACGCCCTTCTTCGGCACCCACGTGCCCTTGCAATATTTGCGGCGCCAGTCCGCGTAGTGCCCCCCGGGGACTGCGCCATTGTCCGCGCCCATCCAGTCGGTTCGCCGCTGCCAGCCGCACGAGCACCTGAAAACAATATCTTGGCCCGCCTTTGCTCCGCAGCGCACTTAAAAACGGGCAGCGCCCACTGCGCCGTGAAAATAATGGGGCCGCGCGTCCCATTGCCGCCCTCGAGTCCTGAGTCATGCCTCCGCACTTTTGCAACATTGGTTACGGAACCCTTATCCGCCTCCCTCCCCTGCCCCTGCTCCTCCTGCTGCCCCCCCCCCCCCGTGCGCGGCGACAGTGCGAATCCAGGCGCACGTGCGTTGCGCGCTTTTCTGGCGCGGGGGCCTCTCGCCTGGGCTCGGGGCCGCCCTCGCCGCTGAGCCGTTGCACTGGGCAATGAAAACCAAACAAGTCCGTTTGTTTGCTGATTCTCTGCCAACCCCAACCAACCATTCTCATGTAATTTTGCATTCGGAGTTGGACGCGAATTCCCCGAGCTACGCTGAAACTCGCCCGGGCCCACTCCCGCGCGAGCTGCCCCAGACCCCGCGGCAGCTGATTCGACCGCTCTGACCGGACAGGCGCTTCCAGGACAGGGCGGACGCGCGCCGCGCTCAAGAGGGTGGCTCGGGGGAACTATCCAACGAGCCACGTAGCCACGATCTGGGTTGCCGCGCGCACTCCCCGTTCGCTTCTCTGGAGAGGCAGGAGGGGGATGGTAATCCCTGGTTCTGCGAGGAGTGGGGATTCGGGCAGTCGCTCGGATGAGCCGCTCTACGAGTGCCGAGTTCGCCTCCCGGAAGCATTGCGCGCGGGGGCCGCTGCATGCGGGGCGCTAGGCGCTGCGCCTCTGACAGAGGCCACGTCGCAGACGTCGCCCTCGGATGAGCACTGCAATGCCTCAGGGGGGATCCCAATGGATGTCGGTTTGAAACGCGGAGAGTAGTGCAGCTTGGCGTCGCCTTGCCCGATTTCTACATGGCGGTCAAGAGCGCGCGTTCCTGCGCAAGACGCTTCCCATCCATCTATGGTAAAGCTGGAATGGCGCATGACCCCCTCCCAACGCGGGCGAAAGGTGCATATTCCGAATGTTCTCCAAGAAGTAACAAGGCTGTCATCCTTCATGCGAATGTAAAAATGATGTAATATTTGTCATCCGCACTGCCCGGCTTAAAAGGGAAATTGGGCTCGCCAACGGCCGAGGAAGCTGCGTCGGCGATGTCCCCGGACACGTCGCGGCCTTGCCCAGAGCCCACATTCACCTTCTTGACCCCGTCTGACTCGGCATCGTAAGTAACGCTCTGGTTACTCAGCATGGCAAGTATTACATCGCGCACTGATTCCCGAAACTGCGGTTCAGCTTGCTTTGAGGCCTCATCGGCTCGAACTCTCTGGTCGCTTGACACGTGCAAGTCCTCGGCATCAGCTTTGGCCGACAAGCCTCAAGGTGCAAGCATGATTTTGTTCAGTTTCTCCATGAGATCTCGCGCGTCTCGGAGAATGCGCGGGTGGCATTTCAGAGACGGCCGGATTGCCCACGACACCCACTGGCCAAATGCTTTGACTGGGTATGCGTAGCAACAGTGTATGACTCGTAAGGAGGGTTGCCCTGCAGATTCGTGGGTCTTGTCCGTAGCTCGGGGTAGGATCGCCATTAATTCGAAATCGGTGGTCGGCGTCGTTCGCCCGATGCGCGAGCCAGCTGACTTGTCGCCCATGACTGTCGCAATCCCATTGGCAAGGGCGTCGATTAGGATCCTGGATTGGCTGCGCCACGACATTGGAAGCACCGGTGCGGTCGCAATGCGCTGGTGGCGTGGCGTGGTTCCTTGCTGACGCGTAGCCAACATGACAGAACAATGCGAAACCGCTGCCCTTGTCGCGCGCGATGGGGACGACGCCGCACGCGCGCGCGAGCAAGCACGCAGCCTTCAAAAGAGGCGATAGTGTAGACCAAAACCTGTTGGAAGTGGATCTACGCCGCTGCAAAGTGCGAGGGCATTGCCTGACAGCGACGCCGTGCAATCTGTCTGTCCAGTGCTTCATATGCTAAGGAATCTTCTCGCGGTCGCATGGTTGCGGGCCCTCGGCAGGCGGGAAGAAGCGATGAGAGGGGGTTCGCCGGGTAGCAACCCTAGCAAGCCGCCCCAAAGCGATACTGCAACCTCAGTGTGTGAAAACGCATGGAATTCTTGCCCGCATTGGTTACGGGCAGGCAATGCATTATCTGCGAACTGACGTTTGCCGCGAACGCGGCCTAATAGCCGCGCCACAGGCCATGGGACGCTGGTGTCCTCTCCGACGCGCTTCGCCGAGCGAGAGGGCCAATCAGCTACGTGCACCAAGCCGCGGAGCTGATCATAATCATACAATTCAACCAATCACGGCGCGATATGCGCGCAGTGGGTATGACAAAATTCGCCATCACCAGCCGATTGGGCGGCTTCACGGTGATTATCCCCGCCGCCTGCTGCCGCCATGCTTTGCTGTCTTGCCCTCGCATGTCATGCCGCTGCTTCTGTCTGTCCCACCTGTTCCTCGGCCTCTCGGCGAGGTGCCCTTGCCTGCGCAGTTGTCCTTGCCTTCCCTTTGCCCTTGCCTGTCGGCGACGGCGTGGCCCGCGTTTTGGTGGATGACTTCGCTCTTGCCTTGGCCTTCGGCTTCGCCGTGGGATTGGCCCCGCGCGGCTCGCTCGAAGAGCGAGAGGCCCTCTGCCCCCCAGACCTGTCGTTTTCGGTGCTCGCATTGACGATGATTGCGCCCTCGGGCTCCGGAGCTTGCGCCGCGCCCTCGGGCTGGGCGCGGCTGTTCTGCGCCAGGGCCCCCCAAGTCGCCCGCCGCCCGCGAATCCGCCATTGCTTGCTTCGCGTTGCCCTTGTTCTTGGCCAGCAGGCCCCGGGCGTATTTGACGGCTTGGATGCAGAGCTTCCTAGAGGGGCGTCGTCCCACCTCCTGGATAAGGTGTTTGTTTTTTCCCCCGCGGCCTCCCGCGCCCGAATATCGGTCTCCGCGTTCGCCGCGGCCTGCCGGGCGGTGTCCGCGCAAAGCCTCTCGGCCGCGGCTTCCTCGATCGACGGCGAGGGGTCAGAGAGGCCATGTGGAAAATCAAAATCCCAATTATTGATGATACTGCCTTGGGCTGCCCCGGGAGTCTTCGCCCGTTCGACGCGGCGGGCGCGGCGGGCGAGTCTCGTCGATCTAGCAGCTTTGACGGCGCAGACTTCGTGTTCCTGCGTCCTCTGGACTTCATGGTAAACAAAAATGGGCATCTCCTGCGCGCGTCTTCCCGCGGCATCCGCGGGGGCCGCGAACGCGCGCTCTGTCTCTGCCGCGCCCGCTGCTGCGCCCCAGTCCTTCGACGAGGAACTCGCGTAGAAGGGCGCTACCCCGCTCGGGGCGCGTCTAGCCCTCAGCGCGGCAATGCTCTCGGTGAGCGTCGCCACGCGCCCGGCCAGGCGGATCTTCTGCTTTATCACCGCGGACAACTCGCACATGGCGGCTTTGGCCTTGTCGTATACCACCTTCGGCAGCTTGCGCGGCTCAAGGACCGATTGGACGGCGCAGGTGCGCTGGGGCCGCCATATGATCCCCACCATCGTTCTGATAATGCTGTGCCTGAGCAGCGAAAAGCTCGTCGCCCCGACCACCCGCGGGATTGCTACAAGCGGGCAGAAGGTCGGTCTCTGCTGAGGGTAAGGTGCCGAACGAGAGCTCGGCGTAGATCCTGGCGCGCCGGCTGCGCTGCCAGTAAAACTCGCCATGCACTTCGCCCGAAGTGTGACGCCAGTGCGCATCAATACGCAAATATATTGTGCTTTTCTGGCCCTGAGGGATTTTGGACCTCTCACCTGGGCTTGCGGCTGCCCTGCCCGCTAGGCCCATATGCTGTACGTTGAACAACAGACCAAGGTTGGCTTCTTTAGTTGCTTGTGCTAGCTTGCTTGCGTCTCGTTTGCCACCTCTGGACATTGGACATATTGTCGGAGCAACTCCCCAGAAACCTCTGGCGACATATTGAAAAACAAAAGAGGTGGGTGCCCAGATCGTCTTCGACAGCGGTAGATGAGCCATTCCCCACACAACTTTCAGCACTGATAAGTACGCCACCGACAAAGGGACCTTTTGAACTTTGCCCCAAAAACCATGGTGCCGCCCATAATCCGCCAAGACCTTTCGATCTCCCCGGTGCCTTCCTCCTGCTCCTGAGTCGCCCCTTGCAACGCGAACGTCGGCGAGAGCATGGGGTCAAACAGTGGGTCATGGTACGCGTGCTGTTGCGAAGTAACTTGCAAGGTGATGCTGGCTCTCGTGGATACCCAGCCAGACGAGCAACCAGACCTTGCAACCTATGCAATTCCGCATGTGACATACCACTAACCATGGCACCATGCCCGACGGGCGTGACGATTGCTATGCAGATCAGTCCCAAAGTTGAAGTCGCCCGTGTCTTTTTTTGCCCCCCCGCGTGTACTTGCAGCATTCGCAGTGCCAGTCCGCGCGTAGCTTCCCAGGACCGACATCACTGACCGCGCCCATCCAACTGGTTCGCCGCTGCCAACGGCACGAGCACCCGAAATCTTGATTTGCCAATGCGCCGTAGCGGGTGGCAAGGCCCAATACAATATGGAAGTGGCAGGGCCGCGCGTCCCGCTGCCACCCGAAAGTCCTGAGCAACGCCTCCGCACTTGGGCCATACCGGCTACGGACCCCCCTCCGCCTCCTCTTCCTGCTCCTGCTCCTCCTGATGCTGCTGCTGCTGCTCCTCTTCCGCTTCCTCCTCCTCCTCCTCCTCCTCCTCCTCCTCCTCTCCTCCCTCCCCCCTCTGAAGGGGACAGCAAGATACCCACAGACGGGTTCCGCGAACCTCCCGGGGCGAATTCCGACCAGGCTTGCGAGGCGAATTCAGACGTGGCGCCAAGATCAGGGCAGCGGTATCGGTATCTCTTCCTCCTCAGCACCCCCTCCCCTCGTCCTCCAATATCCGCAGCTCCCTCCGCCCGATTGCGTATCAAACGATGGCGTATTTTCCGAGTTCCAGGACCGCTCTGGCACACGTCGGAAGATAGAGCAGAAATCAGGGCCATGGGCCATGGGAGGGGATGGGCGGGAGGGCTTGGACGTCAGATATTGCGCGTGCGCGCCCCACTCGTCTGAGTCTGACCCCCTTCCCCGACCACTACTACTCACTCCCACTGCATGGCAGAGAGACGCCCCACGCCCTCTCCCCCCTCCTCCCCCTCCTCCTCGCCCCCTCGCACACATAATCGGGGCGATGGACGCCCCTCCTCCTCTCCCCCTCTCCCCCCTCCTCCCCCTCCTCCTCGCCCCCCTCCTCCCCCTCCTCCTCCTCGCCCCCCCCCCCCCCCTCCTCCCCCGCAGACATGATCGGGGCGATGGACGCCGAGAGGCCCGCCGGCGCCGCTTGCGCCAGGGGCTCGGGCACCGCCACCGCGAAGGGGGCGGCCGAGCAGGCCGCCTGCAGAGGGGGATCGTCGTCGTCGTCGTCGTCGTCGTCGTCGTCGTCGTCGTCGTCGTCGTCGTCGTCGTCGTCGTCGTCTTCGTCGTCGTCGTCGTCGGGGAGACGGGGATGACGGTAAGGAGCTGAGGGGGGAGGTGGGGGAGGAGTGGAGGAGGGAGCAGGGGGGGAGGGGAGGGAGGAGGGGAGCGAGGTGAGAGGAGGCAGGGGGGGAGAGGGGGAGGGGAGGCGCAGACCGGCCGAGCTGGCCGAGAAGCAGGCGGCCGCGGGAGGAGAGAAGTCCAGGGCCCCAGGGGCCAGGACTCCAGGGCCAAGGGTGCAGTACACCCTGCGAAATGCTTTAGAAATCATGGGTTAAGAAATTCTGAGTCTCAGAATTTGAAATCAAACCCAGAATGTCTATTGAAATCTTAGGATTTGCATTGAAACGTTAAGAATAATAGAGACTCTGGCCGAAAATCTGGGTTTCCTTAGGCATCGCCTGGAGTGTAGGGGGGGGGGGGGGGTCAAAAGCGGCACAATAAGCACTGATGAGAAGACGGGAGGGCACGTGGCTTGGGAAGGAGGCGCCTGGGCCTGGACAAAAAAAAAAACGACTTCGCTGTGTCGTTTAGAGGGCCGGGGCGGGGGGGTCGAGGGCCGAGGGGGTGGATCGTGCTGTGGAAGAGTCCAGATACATGTTATATTAGGTCGGGCATGTCCTTTACAAGCGGATTTTGGAAACCAAGTAAACAGCAGCGAAACAACAGCCAAACATTGGAGGACACATCGTGGAAACCTCGTCCCCAGACTCTTGTTCACCGGTCTCGCGTATTCCTCCTGTGAGGGGGTACACGCCCGACTTGAATGCACATGGCAGTTTTTACTACATTGGATTTCTTATATTGGATTCTAATGCTTGGTTAATCGATGGGTAGAATTATGCATGAACTCCTCGTTGTTTTTAATACTAAACCCCTGCATTCGTAATACATGATCCGCACGCGGAGCATGTATAAACAAACGGCACTGGACTATGATTCGCCGGAGTAGGAGCAGCGGGGGAACAGACGAAAGACGGCGGGAGTCCGCGCAGGCGACGCGGCAACAGAGGACCTGGCAACGGAGCGTCGTCCACGGAGCTCCCCAGATGTGCGAGGCAGGTGCGCAGGTCTGCCACGAAGGCCCACCGTGAACCGGCCACAGACAGCCAGGGTCCCCTCCTCCAGGCTTACGTCGGGCCTCTCCCCCTACAGGGGGATTTTCGACGAAAAATCTTAAAAATACGCAACAAATGCTCAAGATATGCCCCAAAAATGCTCAACAAAATAATCCCCAGACTATGCTTTTACTATTTTTGAACATTCACCCTGTAGAGGGAAGGGCCCGACTTAACTCCAGGAGGAAAAGGGAAGAGGAGAAGGAGGAGGAGGACGACAACGACCAGGAGGAGGCGGCAACGACATCAGCGGGGCCGTGAAACACCAACCAACCAGACCATCGCCGCCGCCCAGCCTGCCGCAACTCGGACCCATGGGCCTCGGCACCAGGCGCCCTAGACTTGGCAGCGGACGTGAGACTATGCGCCATGCGAGGGAGGAGGAGGAGGAGGAGGAGGAAGAGGAGGAGGAGGAGGAGGCCGCGGAACACGAACGCCTGTGCCTCTGCATGGTGCGCACCTAGCCGCGCCAGCCGGCTGATTAGGTCTTCGCGAAGCTGGTCGGGGAGGGGGAGAGTTTGAGGACTGCACTGGACTGCACTGGACTGGGGCTCTAGAACTACATGAAGGTTACGCAAAGGCACGAATGCCCCTGGCAGCCAGGCGGCTCCAAGGTACCGTATGTCACTACCTGACAGACTCGCCCGGTGCCGCACGCTGTGGAGAAGAAGGAGGCAGACAACGAGTACGAGGCGAGCGAGGAGCATAAGGATCGGGGGGACAGAAGGCGGGTGGATAGAGGCAGAGTTGGGACCAGAGGAACATCCTTGAGAAGGCGATGCACGCCACATGAACGGCACAACCCTGGCAGGTTGTACATGGCTGCGGACGATGTATGTTCGCCGTTTGGGCTAGCGCTGGGGCCCAATCGGTGAGCTGCCTTCTCTGTTCTCTGTAAGTTCTCCCTGACGTCTCCCACACCACACGCGATACATCAGTGCGCAGCAATTCACATGGCGACCGAGAGGGCTCCAGTACCACCAGGAGATGTGAGCATCCAGCTGGGCTCTCTTCCCAGACATCCGACGTCTCGACGTGTGAATGCAAGGCCCCCGGAAGCCCGACCCGTTCCCCTCGGCCGTTTTCTCATCTGGAGTGGCTCGTGTTTTAACGGTCCCAGGGCCTGGTGAAGGCCCCCAGAGGCCGAACAAAAATCATAACCGTTCCGTCGGATTTTTTCACGACGCCAGCATCTGTGGGTGAGCATCCAGCTGGGCTCGTTTCCCTCACTCTACGAGCCCCCGAGAATCCGCCACGGTGCCTGCGGGCTGCCTGCTCAATCGCCTGAGCCTCCGTCCTCAATCCCGGGGATATTTTTGAAGCACCTGGGCCCCAACCTCTCGGCCATCCCACGGCTCCCGGCGCGCCTGGGCGTCCTCCCGCGTGACGTCCTCCGGCCCAAGAGGGCCCAGGGAAGGGCCAAGAGGGCCCCAAGGGGCCTGCGACGGTCCGAGAGCGGGGGTAGACAGAGCCCCCTGTGGCAAAAACGTCCTCCAGTGAGAGCTGCCAGGGGCACTCCTCGTCGACATCCAGAAGCGAGCGATTGTGTCCAGCGAGTGGCACGCCGATGAGCAAAACTGACTGCAGACTGCACAGGCCAAGCCGATCGTCAATGTCGACTGAACCGGTGCAGACTTCCTCAGTCGACTTGTCTGGGTGGGCGGTCTCGCAGTGCCCGACAAGCGGGCCTCAAGTCGCCGAACGATCGGTCCAAGGCGGGATGCCCCCCCGCCCCGTCCCGAGGTCCTTAGGGCATTTTGTGGTGGGCGCTTGTGCAAGTCAGCACGCTTCGCCACTGCTCGACCCAGACAGTCCAAGAGGGCCGGCACGGTGACGGCACGGTTGCCTAACGATCAGTCCACGGCACGGTGGCGGGATGGACCGAAGGCCCCAAGACAAGAGGCCGGGTGGGCACCCGCCTTGGGCGGCAACTCACGGGAACCTTCCATACCATCTTGCGTGCTCTTGCGGAACGACGCTAGTCAAAGCTAGTTGGCGCCAGTCGACGCTCATGGACTAGGCGCTGAATCGGAGGTTCCTCATCGACTACCAGACGCTGGCGCACGCGTGTGCACTCTGACGGAATTGCGAGGGCATACAATGAGTAACCGAAAAAGAACAACTAACCCTTTGGGAGGGGACCTGTCGGGCGTTGGCTTGGCAGAACTGGGTTTAGTGGAACCTGGTTTAGTGATTTGTACTGGGGGCGCCCCCCCGTCGCATCTCCACTAACCGGAACTGCCGTCACCCGAAAAAACACCGGCTATGGCAAACCTGGTTTAGTGATTCTGGCCACTTCGAAGGCTCCAGGGCCCTACCACTGACCGGGTCCCCTTACCCGGGGTCCTGGCCATACCCGAACCTGAGTCAGGAGGGGCGGGAACATAGGAACAAGGGGCCTTTTCTGCAGACATGCCAGGCCAAACTGCACAGATCTATTATCTCTAATGCGCAGGCAGGGACCTCAGTGAGGCCACGTCTTCACCGTGTTGTTAGGGTTATGGAAACAGAAAGAATGACATAAACATAAACTTTCCACTCTCCGCACGGATGTCTTGGATCCGCGCCAGAGCCCCCTACCTGCCGCGCGGAGCGCGCCAGGGGCGGCGCCGGAGGCGCCGCCAGGGGGGTCCCAGCGCGGATTTAAGAGATCCGCGCGGGGCGCCAAGAGTTTATGTTTATGGCGTTTTTTCTTCTTCGATGTTCGGGGTTCTTTGATCCTCAATGATTTGAGCATGGACCGACCGTCCCGGCATTCCCATAGCCCTACCACGAAATGTTTTTAGAACCCAAAATGTTCGAACAACAAAAACAATGTTCTCAGAACATATACCCGATGTGATAAAAGAAAACAGCCCCAGCCAGAAAGGTTCCAAAAACACCTCGTGGAAAACCACAAAAAAGTTCTTAGAACATTGCCTGGTGGGACTGTGAGCGAGCCGGGACGCTTCGCCACTGCTTGATTCTATGATCCTCAATGATACAAGGCCCCCACGAGGAGGAGGAGGAGGAAGAGGACACTTTTTTCACTGTATGCTGCTACAGACGGCACTGCAGGTGAATGCGTGGACGGCTGCAGGATAGGAGGAGGAAGAGGAGGAGGAGGAGGAGGGGGAGGAGGAGGAGGAGGGGGAGGAGGAGGAGGAGGAGGAGGAGGAGGAGGGGGAGGAGGAGGAGGGGGAGGAGGAGGAGGAGGAGGAGGAGGAGGAGGAGGACCAGGAGCAGGAGCCGGAGCAGGAGCAGCCCCGCCCCGAGGCGCCACCGCGCCGGGCGTCCGCGGCGCGCTGCCCGCCGAGGCGGCGGCGCCGGCCGCCTTCCCGGGGCGAGAGGGGGCGGCTCTCTCCAGCGCGCGGGCCTGGCAGCGGGCTCGCTGCCCCCGCCGCGGCACCAGGCCTGCACCCAGGCCTGCACCCATCGGGTCGGGCGAAAGGGGGGGATAGCAAACGGGGGGGGGGGTTGAGAATCAGCTCACGTAGCCGATTTTCCCGGCGCCTCCCGGCGCCGGAAGCGGCCATATGCATCGAGGAATGGGCCCCTCGGTGGGGCCGAAACCAGCTGCATGCAGCAAGTGTCGTACCCCCCCCTTTTCCCAATCCCCCCCTTTTGCCCGGCCCGAACCCAGATCGTTGGATACCGATTTTTGCTCGGTCGCCTGGCAGCGGGCTCGCCGTCCCCGCCGCGGCACCAGGCTTAGATCGGGCCTGTCCCCCTACAGGGGGATTTTGGACTAAAAATTAAAAATACTCGAACCCAAACTGAACAATTGTCAAACATACTTAAAAAAACGTCCCCTGACTATTTTTTGACAATTTTTGAATATTCCCCCTGTAGACAAGGCCTGCACCCAGATCGTTGGACACCGATGTTTCTTCGGTCGCGAGCGGCAGCGACCGATCGGCACTCCAAATCGGTCGCGACTGGTCGCCACCGATCGCGGCCGATCGGTCGCGACCAACCGGTCGCGACCGATGTTGAAGCAAGTCGGTCGCGACCGATTCCGAAATTTGGAGAACAAAAAAAACAAACAAAAACAAAACACAAATCGGTAGCGACCGATCTCGACGGTCGAGACTACCGGAAAATTCCAGTATCTAATGATCAGGGTGAGACGAAGCCAGGACGATGATGAAATTCGGGTGAGGAGAAGCCCGGACCCCCTCGCGCTGCAGAAGCATCACGACGGACGCAGATCGGCGGGGCCAGGGTCCAAAAAACACATTGGATTTGCCACATATTTGACATTCGGTGGCATCCGTCGCGCAAATCGGCGGGGTCTGGGTCCAAAAACACACGGGATTTGCCACATTTCTTTAAGCCGCTGGCACCCCTCACGCAGATCGGCGGGGTCAGGGTCCCCAAAAATTAGGGGAGTTGCCACATTTTTGAAATTCGGCGGCAGCCCTCTTGCAGATCGGCAGGGTCACGACGTCCTACCAATCGCCAGGTGTGGTAACCCCTCTGGTCATCTACTGGTTTTGCTCATTACAAGTCGGCCTCGCATGAAGTTCCGATACTGCTTCACGACAGCGCCCAGGCCTCATGACACAGCTCTTGCATAGCGCATTCTCCGAGAGAGGGAGCCGGCGGCAGGGAGCAAAGCCCTTACGGATATAAACGTTTGGCGCTCCGCGCGGATTTCTTGGATCTGTGCTGGACACCCCTCCCTGGCGCGCGGAGCGCGCCAGGGGCGGCGCCAGAGGCGCCGCTGGGGGGCCCAGCGCGGATCCAAGAAATCCGCGCAGAGCGAAAAAAGTTTATGTTTATGGCGGTTTTCTTCTTCGACTCCTGCCGCTCCGTCCTCCCCCACCCTCTCCTCCCCCGCTCCTCCCTCCTCCCGCCGGCCCCTGCCGGTCCTCCTCCCACCCCCCCCACGGGGTCTGGGAGCTCCAGAAGCGCTCGCCGCCGCCCCTGCACGAGAGGACGACGTCCGCGCCCGCGGCCGGGGAAGGGGGCGCTGCTTCACGTGCCCCGCCCCTCGCAGCGCGCGGAAGGATAGCCGGGCCGTTCTGCCAGTCAGGAAAAGTGCCGTTCTACGGACTGCCTACCAGACCACCCCAGTTCAACCCGAAGGCCCGAATTTCGGGGTTGTGGGGGGCGGGTTTCATGTGTGTTTTCGTCCAGTCCTCCCCGACACCCCCCCCCTCATCGGGGCTTTCGGGTTGGGTTGGGGTGGTTTGGTGGGCGGTGATTCTACCACTTTAATGGGCCCATTTTCCATCACCACCACCACCACCATACGTAGGAGAGGGAGAAGGAGGAGGAGGAGGAGGAGGAGGAGGAGGAGGAGGAGGAGGAAGACCCCCTCCCCCTCCAACTTATGGTGGTGGTGGAAAACATGCCCATCACACCTGCCTTTCCACGGGAGCGCTCCCGCTTGCCCGCTTGCAATTAAACCGTTCTCCCACGTAGTGGGAGCGCCGTTCTTCCACTCATCTGCAAGACCGCAGCACCACGTGTTAAATTTCGGTGGCAACCCACGGGAGCCTCCTGTACGATCGTGTCGGCTCTTGCGAATCGATGTAAGTCGACGTTAAGTGGACGCTAACTCGACACTATTCGACGCTAAATCGACGCTGATCCACGCTAGCCAATGCGAAAGTGGCGCTACCTCATCGACTCCCCGACGCTAATCGACACTACTTGACGCTAGCGACAGACTTGCGAGGGTACACGAGGCTCCCATATTTGGGGATCCCTGCACGCAAGATCAGGACGCAAGACGGAGCCAGGACGAGGGCAGAATCGGGTGGGGATAAAAATATAGAACATCTCTGAGCTGCAGCAGCTCTGGAGCATGTCTCCGGCGCCGCGGCCCTCTCAGATTTGGACACCCGAAATGGGTACCGAAAGAATGGGTACAATGCCCAACAACAAATGTTGTCCCAAACCAACAGCGGCCGCTTTTGGGCAGGCGGCCTTCTGTCTCGAATGGACACAGGCCCCGGCGGCGTGGACAGCGAATCCTGTTCAGAATGAACAAGAACTGCTGTTTGGCATCGTACCCATTCTTTCCGTGCCCATCTCGGGCGTCCAGATCAGAGCGTTCCTGGACGCTCTGGGAGCGTTCTGGCACGCTCTGGCACGGATCTGTCCCCGCCCTGGCCCCGTCCGACAACGCCCCTCACGCGGTCTCCCTGCCCTCCACAAGGGCACCATCGCCGCGCCGCCCTGGCCGAAGCGCGAGTGGCGACCTTCGTGGTCGACGCCCGGCAGCCGGTCGGTCGACTCGCGGCGCTGCTCGCCCGAGCACGCAAGGCGGGCGCATGCAGCCCCATCCCCCAACGATCGCACAGCTGAAGCGATGCAGAGTGCAAGCGATGATGAACCAGGCCATGCGCGACGACCGTGGGATCAACTCTCCGATGCGGATGCGAGAGTAAGACCGTGTCGCAGTCAACATGGAGCACTGCAGCGAGGCCCACCCTTGCGGTCAGCGTGCCAGAGGCAAGGAAGAATGGCCGAGTGCATGCTCGTCATAGCTATCTGAATCCTGAGATCCTCGCCATTCATACATCGGTTGTGGTTCGTTTTTGGGCGAGCTCGGCATTCTGCTCAGCGATGCGACTTCGCAGTGCGACTTCGCAATGCGACTTCGCAATGTGACCGAAAGCTGCTACGGCATGGGTAAGGGATGGCGCAACATTGACGCCCGTGCAAGTCCCACTGAACGGCAAGTGGAACTACTGACCCATTGAGGTATCAGGCGTATCAACCATCGGATATCATGCCCCCCATCCACGACCTCGGGGAAAAAGTACGTCAGGCTCCAAAGGAGACGCTGAAGTCGGAACTCTGGAGTGAAGAATTGCAACGTCGCTCAAAGGCCAAACATCGCAACCACGAATCGTCCTCTGGGCTGCCCCTGGAGATCGCCTTACCCGAAATTCCCCCCGCTCCCTGGACGAGGGGAGGAGTGATAGGACTTCGAGACGGTGATGGGCGGGGAGGAAGAGGATTCTATCCTGAGCACCCTCGCTCGTACTCTCTCCACTCGCACTCCTTCATGTGCACAGGAAGGAAAAGGGGGAGGAGAAGAGGGGGAAGAATAATGCAAGAGGGAGATTACGCAGGAGGGGAAAAGGGAAGGAGGACGGGTTGAGATACGGGGCCGCGCGAGGGAGGGGAACGGCAGAACGGGAGGGGAAGGAGCAGGGGGAGAGAAGGGGATGAGAGAGAGACGGTGGGGAGACAAACATGAGTATGCCAAATTGAGCGTGAGGAAGGAAGCGGAGGAGGGAAAGCGCGGGGCCAGCGACGCGTCGTGGAGGGCCCGTGGGACCACCGGCTCCGACTCCGAACATGCGCGATGCGTACGGCAAGACGGCTCCTCACGACAGCTCGGTGGGCAAACTCGTGGCGACCTTGAACTTCCCGAGAGGCCCCAGAACTCTGGCGAGCCCCCGGCACCGTGGCAGAGTGGATCACGTGAGAGGCTGGTGGGGCTGTGGCTGGCAGGCCGGCTTGTTTGTTCGGTGTGCCGGCGGTGCTCTGTCATGGGGCGTTTGGGAAATCATTCGGAGGAAGGGCGCAAGTGACCCGGACATCATGAGCCTGGCACTGCAAATCCCAGGCCAAAGATCGAGCACACAGAAAGGATGAGGGGGAGGGGCAACATCAGGAGCAACAGGGTCCGCAGTAGCAGAAAAGGGGGAAACGAAGTAACAGGGGGAGGAGGACAAGAAGGAGGAGGAGGAGGAGGAGGAGGAGGACGCGTAACAGGAGGAAAAGGAGGATGAGGAGGAGGAGAAAGGAACAAACGGAGAGGCAGAGGAGAGAAGAACACCGCCAACATAACCCAAACGAGCAGTGGGTGCTGGATGGGGGCTGAGCAGATACGTCGATCTATGTGTATACATGTAGATCGATATCACTATTTTTCAACATAGATGTAAAGAGAGAGAGAGAGATGTTAGCCGATACCACAATGTGTATATATATATATGTGTATATGTATAGATGTGTCACACTATATACACGTCGATTGTGTCTAATCGTGCTCATTCCTAATTGTGCTCGTTTCTAATTGTTCCTGGCCCCCTAGTGGCCAGGAAGAGGCCCAGGATAGAACAATTAGAAATGAAAGGAACTTGGCCCCCAAAAAAATCAAAGAACTTCCGAATACTTGGAAATTAACAGTGTGCACTCCAGCACACGAGATGGAGAGAGCGGAGGAATGGGGGAAAGGGGGGGGAGAATGGGGTGTCCAGCAAGTACTGTTCCCAAGGCGGGGGCCCGACCGCAATGAGGGCTGGCTGGGAAATATGACGCCGCACAAGACAAGATCGATCCGTGAGGTTCTCTGCGCCCGGGATGAGGCAAAAACGCCGGCCGGGTTTCTCCCACGACGCCCGTATGTCAGGGTGCCCGCCCCTCCCGCCCACCTCTGCACAGTCCACCCCCAGTTTTGGGTCGGGTCACAAGCCATTCAAGTCCACCTCTTGAACCTCTATAGACTGAACTTGGGTCGGGTCACAAGTCATTCAAGTCAACCTCCTGAACCTCTATAGACTGAACTTGGGTCGGGTCACAAGTCATTCAAGTCAACCTCCGGAACCTCTGTGACTGAACAGGCCCCATGGAGCGGGAGGCCCATCCCCTAGACATCCGACGTTGTGACTTCTTCGACGCGTGCCCCCTGGACATCTCGACCGCTTCCCACATCGCACTGTTGCTTGCCTCGGGGCCCACCAGCTCGCCATCGCTCGGGCGTCCATTCCCTGTTTTTTTTCGGTTTTGTGCGTGGTTTTTTCGCCAAATGATCAAGGATGCTCCTCGATGGTCCTCGCCGAAGGAAAAATGCACATGTCCGAGCGATGCCAAGCCAGAGGGCCCCACCCTGGACGCCAGAGTCGGGGATCCTCTGCCCCGGGTCCAGTCCAGACCCGGGTCAGCAGGGAACCAAACACTGCCATGCAGGACAACAAAACACTGCAGAGCAGATCTTCGCGCAAAGCCGGGTCAGCCAATGGGCGCGGCCGCCTCGCGGCCACGAGCGGCTCGCCTAACCCGGGGTCAGCCAGAGGGGAGCTTCGCAGGATCCTGCAGGATCTGGCGCCCTGGCTGACCCCTTTCTGCACTGACCCCCGTCTCGAGGCTCCCGAGGCCAGGCTCTTGTGGAGGGCCCGGAGGCTGGTCTTGCGGTGCGGGGGCGGCTCGGGCGAGGGGCGGGCGGAGGGGGAGCAGGAGGAGCAGGAGGGGCAGGAGGAGCAGGCCCTGGCTGACCCCCGTTTGCATTGACCCCCGCTTCAGCGCTCCCGACGGAGAAATTGAGGCAAGGCGCCGGCCAGACCACGGCCGGGGAGAGTCCTGGGCCCGTGACCCCCCCCTGCCCTGGGGCGGAAGCTCCCCCCCGGCCCGCCGCCGCCCGACTCAGCTGACGAGGCCCTGGGACACACAAGTAAATACACACACAGGCCCGCCGCCGCCCGACTCAGCTGACGAGGCCCTGGGACAAACAAATAAACACACACGCACACACACACACAAAAAAAAAAAATCACCGGCTTCCCCATGCTTTCCCATATGTTTGTGGGTTTTGGTCTTCCCCCCCGCTTCCCAGATGTTCCCGGGAAGCGACGATCCATTGTGCCCGTGTGTCGATTCGCCTCCTGATCCGCGATCTCCCCAGCACCAGGGTCCGGCGGCAACGCGTCGGGAGGCGCCCCGAGATCGCGAAGACCAGCGCGTGAGGGGCACCTGCGACGTGCAAGCAGCGGGAACCGCCCGAGGCGCGCAGCGGCCAGACCGCGGGCCGGCAGACAGCAGGCACCCTATCGATCTGGCCAGAGGGGGCACGCCTCACCGCGCCGCCCTCGCAGGCGCAGGGGCCGCGCCACGACTCTCACGTGGAGTCCGCCCGCCGCGCCCTAACCCCAGAGGCCTCCCAGATGGGGTCCGAGCAGATGGGGTCGGAGGATCGCGCCGCCTCGCCCATGCTTCGCAGAGGCATCGCCGAGGTAACAGCGACGCCTCGGCGATGCATCGGCGACGCCGGCGCGGGGAAACATGGGCTCCACAGCGAGCCGCATCGGCGATGCCTCGGCGATGCGGCGCGATCCTCCGACCCCATCTATACTCGGACCCCAGCTGGGAGGCCGAGTTAAACTCGGCGAAAGGCGGCGAAGACGAGAGGAGGAACTCCCTGCGACTTCCCCTGCGAGGGAGGCGGTGGACGGGCCTGGAGGACGACGGGGACGACGGGCCAACTTCGCTCTGCGCCTTCGCTCCCCCCTCTCTTGGCGGGGCGCAAAGGGGGGGCAGGGGGAAGGGGGGGAAGGCTCCTTAGAAGGAGGCTGCTCCCTGGAAGGCGCGGCGTCTGGGAGGCAGGAGGGGGCCTCTGAGAGAAGCCTTCCCCCCTCCCTCTGCGCGCGGCTGGCCGTGGGCGGCCGAGGCTGGACGCGCTCAAGCAAGACGCGTCGGGATGGCGCCCTGCAGGCCCAGTCCTCCTCCTCCTCCTCCTCCTCCTCCTCCTCCTCCTCCTTCTCCTCCTCCTCCCTCCTCCTCCTCCTCCTCCTCCTCCTCCTCCTCCTCCTCCTCCTCCTCCTCCTCCTGCTGCTGCTGCGCTCGCACCAAGAGAGGCAATCCTCGTGGCGTCTCCACGGCCCGCGACGCGCGGGCCGTACATGCAGTCGTGACGGGGGCGAAATGGCCACCTGATCCTCATCCTACCTCCTCAACACTCCTCCCCAAAGGAACGAAAGGGCTCCTTCGACCCCATCATGACGAAGTCGAGCCCCCCAAGTGGGGACCCACCCTGGGGGGCTCGCCACACCGGCCTCCTCAGAGGTCCCAGTCGGCCTCCACGGCCTCGTGCCAGCAGCGCCCCGCTGGTCGCCCATGACGTACAGCGTCGGGAGCCCCGACTCGGCCGTCTAGCCCAGGGGGTTGTTACGTTGTGGGCTGAATCCACCCCCCCTGGGCCACGACCCGCGCACCCTCACAAGGAAGTCGTCCTCATACGTATTCCCCACTCATCATCCACCATCGGTCGTGCCAATACTCGTATTCAATGTTTTGGCTTTCAACTCCGACCATTATATCCTTCTCCACATAGTTGTCATTCACTCCAGTGGGTATCATGGCCATGTCCGTGATCACACACATTGGTACGCAGGCCCTTCCACACGCATGAAATATAACCATTAGTCCCACATTTTCCCACGGATTTCGGTACCACCCCACAGTCGCATACCCATATATCCATATATCTGTCCGACAACACCAAAGATCTTTCGTGTGCTTATATCCGTCACCACCGCGTGACGCAAACCATCTGTAGCAATCGCGTCCATTTCCATTGTCCTGATGTCGATCATCTTGATCTGGAATGGTCCACCCTCATGAAAGCTATCCAACCATGCTGTAGAACCACCCTCGGAGTCGTATAACAGCAGCGATTACGACTCCCTATCCACACATTGGTAGTTCGCACTTTCCTCATTGCCAAACTTGGGGGCCTCCTTCATCATTACTTGCGGAATTGACACATTCATATTCTCCTTCGATCTTGAGTTCCTACAGTATCTCGGACCCTTCGTAGGTGGCCTCAGTGCTTCTGATACAGAATATCCCATGGCTTTGAGCACAGCCGTTTCTTTCAGATCTGTTTCGTCCATTTTTGCCATCTTTTCGTCATCAAACGGCTCCACCACACCACGCAGTATGTCAATACATTCGGTGTGACGATATTTCAAGTGATATATCAACCTTTTCCTTGTATGAAAGTTCACATCACATGCAGCACAATACCCATCATACGCATATCGAGGTATATCATCGTTATTGCCATGTACTTTGGTGCGATGACCGTGCCACGCACACTTACTTTCGAACGTGGCTCCACATTCATAGCATCAGAAGCGTAAGCCCTGACCCACCTCATGTTCCCTTGGAACCATACTTTCAAGATTATGTTGCCATACCTCATGCTGACAATGATCTACATGCCATTGCATAAAGCGTTTCCATGCCACAGTACATATAGCCAGCTACTTCTTGGGAGTCTGCCGTATGAGCTCGATCCAGTGTCGCATCTCCATTGGCGTGTCACCTTTATTTCTCCATAGCTGTAGCCATTCGAAGTCCATTTCCAGCATACCAAGCCACATGCCCTCCGTCCCAAGAATATCCACCAGCCGTCGCAAGGTCGCCGGTGCATGATTCACTACTCTTTCGAGATAACGCAGCCTCCTAATACGCTTAATCGTAGTGAAATCCGCCCGTCTGGCTTTCCAAAGTACATACTCGTCGAGGTGGTGCTCAACAATGCCTGCATTATGTACTAGTCCTGTTGCCTTCCTGGGACCCCTCATATATGCAGCCCTCAGCCTTGACTCATTTCCTTCTCCCAGTTCATGCCATATCCCAACCTGCTGAAATAGCCGCGCAAATGCCAGTGCCTCCACATATCTAACCTTGAACTCATCTTCTATACTTTTTCGTGGTATGATGCCCCGTCTGATAGGGCCCAGTGCATGTTCACAACTTTGAATACGTCGAGTAATTTCTGGCCGCCACGAGCAGTCAAAGGAAACCACCACTCCCATATGTTTGTAGTGCCTTTCGATATGAAACGTGAACCCATACTTGTCACTCGTCATCGAAACCTCCCCTCCATACAATGCTTCTCGTAGCGATTCGCGGTTTGGTCCTCGGGGCTGGAACAGCGCGCCCGTCTTTCCTCTTCCGTAGTTCGGCTCCATGAAGTGTGCAACAAATGATGCGTGCATGATGTCCATGGCGTCCTTCACTCTCTGAATAATGCAGTCATTCTCCTGCACTATGGGGATCATCACATCATCAACAAAAGTAATATCCACCAACGGGTTGACATCGTCCCCAGACTTGCTTACCATATCACAATCGGATTGATATCTACCCAGATCTAGTAGCAGATTCGTTGCCTGCAGACTCCGATGTACCAGTCCTAACGGCCTAGTAAAGACAATGTTTAAAGGGTAGTCTGCAGTAGCACACCCAGGTCTCGTCCCTCTTGTTGGCATACCCAGTTGCGTGGAACCCCCAACCTCAAAGCATACCAACCGCTGTGACTCTGCCACCAGCGTAGCCAGATGGGGGTCCACACGTTGATCGTCCAGCAAGGCCGGCTGTGATATAATATGGCTGGCCAGAGGTACCAAACAGATAGGGATATCACAATCATTCAATATCGCTTCTGGTTCCTCCTCCAAGTACTGCATACTGCTGGCCATCTGACGTATGATGCGATGGAACGCCGCCTTGAGATCCAAACATATAAATGCCACTGATACCTGATTCTTTGCAGCCAACTGTGTGATCAGACGTGCCTGCTGCGACGCCATCACTGGTGACCTCCTGGGTCCACCCCCAATTTGCGAGTCCCTCAACATAAAGTCCAACGTGTATGCTAGTTGTCTCCTCAAAAATCGGTGGCGATGTTTGGCGAATACATTGCAAGTCGTAACTGCCCTGAATGCCTTGTTCGTCGCTGGGTCCCCTGCATTCTTTGATACTTCCCCCAATCTACTATGCTTGAACGCGATATGTTCCTTCCCAGTCGCACATACTTTCACCAGCAACGGGTTGACCAACTTTGCGATCTGTTTGGGTGCTGCATGCAATACTTCTTCCAACAGCCCATCGGTGCCCGCAACTCGCCTTCGTGGTCCCCTCGATAGTCGATATTCTGTATCCGCCAAGTGAGGAAGCATCTCGATATTCAACGGAACATGCCCAAGCGCAGTACTCGGAAACTTCTCGTATGTCTCTGCATACTCCTGTGCCGAAACCACTTTCGCATCCTCCAGCTTGCTGTGCACTCGCATCCTATTCGATCCCATTCCTTCCTCTGATGTAATGACCTCCCCCTCCTCGTCCTTTCTATATGGTAAAAACTTTCCACTTGAAAACCTCGGATGCTCTCTACCTCCGCACCGCAATATCTTCTTGGCTGCTTGCTATGCCTGTCGATGGTCACCAAGTAGCGTATTTGCCCCAACCTGCTCCGCATATCCAACCAATTTGTCATCTTTCTCCCTTTCCAACCGCCAATTCAGTATATTTGAGGTAATCCGCATGGATGCTTCCATTTGGCATTTGAGCTCTGTGTTGGTCCATATCCCATTGTTCAGGAACTGCGCGCCCACCACAAGCTTCTCCGCCTCCTCATGCCAAGGATCGCCCTCCTGCGAACAAAATTGGTATTGGGCTGGCAGGAACTTGCATAGATTCTGGAACGGTTCGCTTTCTCCTCGCCGAAAGTTCCTTAGCCCCTGCCATACATACCTCCGCAACCTGATGAGCCGCATCGTGTCTCTCGTAGTGTATGGCTGCGCTTGCGTGAATATGTCTCTCGCAAAACATCGCCGTGCTGCATCTTTAACTTGCCTCATTACATCGGCATGTTGAGAATTAACATCCTGCTGCCATGGCCCTGGTTCGGCTTCCTCTAGGAGTCCCCTGAACCGCTCACAACAATCTTCCTGCTTCATCATATTATATGATAAGTAAACTTGACCACTCTCCACCCTTGGTGCTGCGATATGTTGGCATGTCATTATTACGACAACTGGTCGGTGATCCTCCTTGCCCAGCCCATTGTCCAGGTTGGCAATAACACGCAATCCTGCCGCAGCTTGGAACCAGGATCCGACTATGCCAACGTAACCCGTCCTGTGCATGACCGCCCCATCCGTATACGTCCAGCATTCAGCATCACCAACCAGGGTATTATACAGATGTATGTTATGTATGTTCACAAATTCAGCCAGCATCTTCCCATTCTCGTCGATCTTGCTGGTCGGTAGACTATCTCCAATTAGCGGCATCTCCATGACACTCGTGTCTATCCGCGCATTCGCGTCCATCAGAAAGATGTCCGTTGGATGCTTCTGGAATACTTCCGCTTGCTCTTTCCACCACCGTCGTCTTTTCTACAGGCCGCCCCCTCGGTGGGGCATGCGTCACCGCCACCCTTATCTGAATATGAGGTGCCTTAATCTGCACTACCAAGCATGTCGGTGCCTTATGTATCACACGCAAATGCTGCTGTCGTAAATGATACTCCTGCTTTTCGCCTGTCGCATATGGTAACAAGGCACATCCATGTCCACCAGCGTCTGCTCCTGCTCGAAGAGTCACGTAGCCATCTGCCCATT